ACAAGATGGATCACTAGATGTACCATTATGTCAAAAAATGATGGAGGAAAATACATTTCAAGCTCACACAAAGTAATAACTATTTCTTTTTGCAATGATGGTAAGATCGCAGGATCGATCACCTTACTACAAATTGACCTGAAGAAAAAACACAATTTAGTTATTGCGCCTCTCACTTTTTCTGGCAAAATAGAACGTATACCTATTGGTAGAAAGTGTTCCATTATAACATGACAATCATGTGTCTTTAAACTCTTTAACTTGAGGTCTTTCATAGAAACAAGTCTTCTAATATCTGAAGAGTATCCTTCTGGAACTTTAACTTCACTCAGAAACTTACACAATATCTTTTTCTCTTTTCTAGATAAAGTATAAGCAGCAGGTGGTAGATATGTGCGATTTCCTTTCTTCAAGGGTCCTAATTCATTTCTTATTCCCATTGCTACCAAGTCCTTTCTTGCTTTAAGGCCATCCTTAGACTTTCCTTTTATATTGAGTAACGTACCAATAACACTTTCAAATACATTTTTTTTTCAATATGCATAACATCAAGAAAATGTCTTACATACAACGACTTCCAATACGACAACTCAAACAAAATTGACCTCTTCTTCCACCCACATGTGACAATAGTATGTGCAAAAGGCTTGCCAAACTGAGTACTCACATCTTTCACCTTTTCAAAAATTTGTTCGCCGGTTAATGTAGGTGGAGCTCTACGTTGTTCTGAATTTCCATTGAATGCTTTTCTCCACCCACGGTAGTGATGACTAGAATTTAAGAATCTACGATGACCAAGAAAAACATTCTTCTGACCAAATTCCAACCGCATCCAATCTGTGTTTTCTTCACAGATAGGACACGCACATTGACCTTTAATGCTGTACCCCGATAGATTTCCGTATGCTGGAAAATCATTAATTGTCCCAAACAACATCGCCCTTAAATTGAAACTTTCTTTCCTATATCCATCATAAACCTTCACACCGTTCTCCCACAAACTCTTTAAGTCTTCAATTAAAGGTGTCAGGTATACGTCTATGTCATTCCCTGGTTGTTTAGGGCCAGAAATTAACATATATAACATCATGTACTTACGCTTCATACATAGCCATGGAGGTAGGTTATAAATCATAATAATTACAGGTCAGGTGGAATGCGAGATACTCTGCAGACCATGCGGATTCATTCCATCAGTCGATAATGCCAAGCGAAGGTTTCTAGTTTCTTCTCCAAAATCAGGATAATCATTATCAATTTTCATCCACTGTGGTGAATCTGTCGGATGTCGATACTTCCCATCTATAATTCTATCATCTGCATGCCAAGTCAAGTGTTTTGCGTCTGTTTCACTACGAAACATGCGTCTGAATCTCAGAATTATAGGAAAATACCATAAGACTTTTGGTGGTGACAACTTTTTCTTATACCGAGATACACCGTATTTAGGACACTCGTTTAATGATGCATATTCATTTCGAAACAAAATGCAATCATTTGGACAAGCATGTATCTTATCATAGCTCATGCCAATAGAGCATAACATTTTTTTAGCTTCATAGGTTCGATTGGGAAGAACATTATCCTCCGGAAGCATCTCTTGAAGTAGGGCTAACAACTCTGTGAAACTTTTATCCGACCATCCATTACCCGCCTTTAAGTTGTACAACTTTAATACCGCGAACAATCTTGTGAAAGTAGTGCAACCTTTATACAACAGTTTCTCTGCATCGCTTGCCAACCTCTCAAACATCTTGGGACAATCTTGAAGATCTTCTTCAAGTGCTTCTGCAATCTCTTCGACTCGATCACAATCATATGTATCCCTGCCATTGTCCTTTGAAGCACATGTCGTATTATTCCGGGATTCAACATTCTTGTTACTTATCTCACCATGTAATATCCAACATGTGTAACTTCGATCAATTCCATGTCTCATTAAATGAGATTCCAACTGAACAACGTCAATTCGACGCCCATAACAACAACCTAAGCAAGGACATGCGATCCTACTGGGGTCTTTGGCGTGTTCAACAACAAACTTAATGAATTTCGATACCCCATTCTCGTACTCTTTTGACAATCGACTAGCAGGCATTTATTTTTTATCCATACTAATTGAGTAGTCTAAACTAAACTATGAAAGTTAAACAAAAACAGAGAATACCTGTAAAGAAATCCCTAACTTCTAAGAAAGCTACACAGTAGGATGCTTGGAAACGATCACAACCTTGCTCTTCACAGGTAACCCATATAACAGACAAAATATAAATTTTATTAAAATCATATTAATAATTAACCAAAACAAAAATACTAGATAATCCACCAAAACAAATCATATTAAAACGTTTAACATGGGTCTCTCACTTCCTTTTTTGATTGTATTCATTCTCCATTTGTACAACTTTTATCAATCTCTTCCATTCTTTATTCACCTTGCAAAACTATCTACCACCAAGCCATCACTTAACAACACTAACATTCATCCTCATATAAACTCATCACTAATTTTCATGGTCTTACTCTCTTCCATTACGTGAACATGAACACGCAACAAACTACAACTTACAGTGAAAATCAAACATAACTCTTTCGCCATAAAATCCTTTCCTTACAACCATCACTATATTTGTACAACTTTTACACACTAACTTCATTTTTTGATACTATTCATCTCTCACTATCGACTAACCTTCAATCTCTCACTATCGTAATTTATTGGTTCTATTCACCTGGTTTCTAATTTTACTCTTGTTCTGAATTTATCAGTTGAATCAAAATATATAAACACCAAACAGTTCCCAGGGCAATTCATTGGTTTCAATCCAAACTCTTGTTTGTCAATCTAAAACATACAAAATATATAACATGCAATGCATACAAAAGTTTTTATACAATAACAATGGTGAAAAGATAAGTAAGAAAGAAAACTAGAGTAAAACTTCAAATACCGTAACAATGGCGGAAATGCAATGCAGACGGACGGAGGCTGTCGTAAACAGATGGTGAACAACGACGAAATGCAATGGAAGAGGCTGTCGTTAACGGACGGTGAACGGCGGCGAAATGCAACAGAGGAGGGCGACGGTCGGATTGGGTAGGGCAACGTTAACGTTCGCCAAAGGAGAAGAAGGAAAGAAATACGATGACTGTTCTATTTCTTTTAAAAATTCTGGTGGGTATTTTAAATTTAATTCTAACTAAACATACATCAGCGCTTTTTAATGGCTTTAGCAGCGCTTTAGGAAAGCGCTCTCAAATGTGTGCCTTAGGAATGACAAATAGCAGCGCTTTCTTATGTACCCCCATATAGTAGCGCTTTACAGAAAAAGCGCTCTCGTAAGTAGGCAATTTTGTTTCTTATGTACCACCTACAACAGCGCTTTAGAAAAACGCTTTCATAGGACACCCCTTTAGCAGCGCTTATTAAAAAGCGCTGTCTTTGGTAGGCAATTTTTTTCTTTTTTTTAATGACACTGTAGCAGCGCTTATCAAAAAGCGCTGTCTTTGGTAGGCAATTTTTTTCTTTTTTTTAATGATTCTTTAGCAACGCTTTTTTAAAAAGCGCTGTCTTTGTATGCGCTGTTAAAAGTCAACTCTGGCGTAGTGAACTCACTAAAGTATTTTTAAAATATATATATTTATCATCTTGATTTTAAGTCTACTTAAGAATATCTAAATTTTTTTTATTTTTAATGTAAAGTACGATAAAAATTTCATATATAATATACACACGTTTATTTTTTCTTCTGTGCATATTAAAAAAACAGACAAACATGCACAGAAATGTCCGTTTAGACGCTAATATTATATAAAGTTATAATAATACTCTTATAATAAAATCATATACATATATTCTAATTGAATATTAAATTAATTTTTATTTATATTTATCATATTTAATTTTGATTTTAAATCATATTTTACAGAAATAAATTTATAAATTGTTTTCGCATCTTTAATGGGAGCAACTAAATTGGATGAACTAAGTTATTTTACGTGAGTCCAAATTGACATGAAGGATTTAAGCAATCCAAAATTGAATTAAAAAGTTTTTACTTTAATGGTGATTATTTATAAGGAATTCAAACTTGATATTAAATGGTTAATAAAAATCTATTATTTATGTTAAATAATTAATAAAAATCTATTATTTATGTTAAATAATGAGTTAGAGTACATTGTTTGTGTAGAGCTCGTAAACTAGTTTTAGAACATCCCATATGCCATGTCAGCTCTACTATAATGCAAATTCCTTATTACTAACGTAAGCTATATAAAATTTTAGTTTAACAACTATGCGTTAAAGTTGCTCTAATATCAAGTTTGAATTCCTTATAAACAATCACTATTGAAGTAAAAATTTATTAATTCAATTTTGGATTGCTTAAATCCTTCATGTCAATTTGGACCCACGTAAAATAACTTAGTTCATCCAATTTAGTTGCTCCCGTTAAAGATGCTCTTAAATAGTTAATAAAAATTTATTATTTATGTTAAATAATTAATAAAAATCTATTATTTATGATAAATAATGAGTTAGAGTACGTTGTTTGGGTAGAACACGTAAACTAGTTTTAGAACATCCCATATATCATTCCTTATTACTAACGCTATACAAAATTTTAGTTGCTCTTATTCCATTCTATCAGATTGTATTCTAATTCATATTTAATATAAAATTTGAACTAATAAAATAGAATATAATAATTTTCACGAATAATTTATCATATCCTCTCCCTCAAACATTGAATTAAGATATACAAATATTCTATCATAGAACCAAACGGCCTAAACCTACTTATTCACAAAATTTAATTTCTGCCACTGTATTGGCTTGCTTTAAAACACTCAGGCAACTTAAAAAGCATCTTCTCTGTTCGGCTCATTCTTACCACTGAGCGGGAAAAAGCTGATGTGAAGCAGCAATAAAGCAAAAACGCCGTCGCTCTATTTACAGCCTCTAGGTTTTCTCTTTTGGTTCCATTTTCGTCCACATCATGGCTAGTGTTGTAGATCAAGATCAGCAATGGCTTCTTGGTTGCTTGTCTGCTACTCTCGATCCTAACCAGGAGGTTCGCTCTTTTGCTGAAGCGTCCCTTAATCAAGCCTCTCGCCAATCAGGTTGAATTATCTTGTCCTAAAACCCTAAATATTTGGGAATTTTGCTCCGTGTAATCCTCACTTCTTTTGTGCTGCTCAATTTCCTTGGGTAGTAGTGTATGTGGTCGGAATTGTGATGGATTTTGAAATTAAGTTAGCTATACAAGGTCCATCTAAAGTCAACATAATTTTACTTTTTATTTTCAAGGCAATGTGAATTGCTGCTTTTTTTCTTTGGTTAATGCTTTACATGTTGCTTGAAAAATATAATAATGTTATGTTTATTATGTTTAATTTTCTTGAAGGTTTTGGTAGTGCATTATCAAAAGTCCTTGCAAACAAGGAGCTTGCCGTGGGGTTGCGCCAGATATCCTATTCCTAATGATTAGATACAATTATGATTTATGATTTTTGATTCAGAGCCCAAATGTTTACTTTGCGACTCATTCTTGGAATGGATGTTCATAACAATCTGTCAATATGTTTGTTTTCTTTGCTGGTGGAATAATGCTAGAGCCCAAATATTTACTTTTGAATCACTTTATCAGGACATTTATACTCTGCCTCTTCCATCCATTGTCTTATCTGTTTTCTACTCATACAATTGAAAGCAGGAAACAATGAAAACGAAATAAAAACCGAAAACTTATTCCAAAACCAAACAATTTCTTATTCTTTTGAGAGAAAAATAAAAAGTTTCAAGTTACAACTTTAATGTCTGCCATTAAATTTCCTCTTTCCACAAGCTTATGATCTTGTATAACTTAACCACCCTCTACTTAGCTGCTGTCCTTCTTAAGCAGTTAGTTAAAAAGCATTGGCAGGAGGGTGAAGACTCATTTGAACCTCCCTTGGTTTCTGATGATGAAAAGGTAAATACGCTTTCATTTCTATTTTGAATATTATTAAAACCTTGATATCTACAAGTCATCAGTAGAAAGTAGAAACTATTATCTGAGCTTGGATTGATTAATTAATTATAAGGAAACTTGAATTTGATAAGGATTTGATTTGGATAACTTACCATTGGATTGTAAATACTCTTTTTGCCTCTCATTTCGAGGTCTGAATGAAATCACATTAAATAATTTGCTGAATTTTGACAAAGTAGATTTTCCTTCAGTTTCTGCCAGCCTGTCACCAAAGTCATATATTTTTATCTGTAAAAGAATGTTTCTAGCCTTTGACAATGACAATTAATGAAGTATTTGCAGAAAAATGTTTTAGTCTTCATCAGTTCAATGTTGTCCTTAAGGATCTCAATATCATATATGTCTCTGCAGATAATGTGTTTTCCTGAATATGAATTTATGGAACACATATTGATAGGAGAATACATATTGCATACTTTTTGAACTGTATAACTTGCCTATGAGATAATGGTTACATTACTGATGAAACTAAATCTTCTCCCTTGTCAACTTTAATTGTTCTATTGTTTTCTTCTGCTTTTCGAAAAATTGTTCTATCCTGCTATTGGTTATTTAATAAATGGCATAAACGCATGTTTCTTGTGCTAACTACTTTGTATTACATCATCAGGATATCATCCGCAGAATGCTTTTATTGGCATTAGATGACCCTCATCGAAAAATTTGCACGGCTATTGGTATGGCTGTGGCGTCCATCGCAATGTATGACTGGCCAGAGATATGGTCAGATTTGTTGCCATTTCTCCTGAATTTGATAAACAATCAAACCAACTTGAATGGAGGTAAACAATTCATTATGAGTTGGTGATTTGTGGGATTTTTATACGAGACGTTTAAAACTATGGTTGACTGTGGAAAAATGTTAGGTGAAAGTTGGGCTCCATTAGCTTGTGGAGTTTGTATACTAAGCATTATATGATAGGAGCACTTTTACTTCAATGAGATGAGAAAAAACTGAATATTATTGATTTACCAATCATAGACTACTGTACATCAACCCTATTAATTGCCAGTCTAGAAAAAAAGGAAATTGAATTAGCTCTCATAACTGAAACAATATCATAGCAGTTGTGTATAGAAGAAGAAAAGTAAAGCATACACTGGATCTTGCAACAACTTTCTGCTTGCGAGACCACCATGAGATTAAATTAGGGCCAAAGTAGAGAGCTAACACGGAGACAGACCTACGTTCATCTAGATCAGCAGCCCAGTCTGCATCACATAATCCATGAAGAGGCAGAGGATGTCCAGTTTTAGCAGGAGACAGTTGGAGGCCTAGTTGTATGGTTCCTTGCAAGTAACGAAGGGCACGTTTAACCGCATGCCATTGAGAGTCCAAAGGATGTGCCATAAACTGACACGCTCTATTGATTGAGTAGCTTAAATCTGGGAGAGTAATAGTAGCATATTGTAAGACCCCCACCACTGATCTGAAAAAGGAAGGGTCATTGAAGTGAGAAGAACCAGTCTTGGAAAGTTTGGAGCTAGATGACATAGGAGTTGCAATTGTATTGGCTTCATTCATGCATGGCTGTTTTAAGTAGTAAGTCCCTGATGTATTTGCTTTGTGTGAGAAGAAGAGCACCCAATGGCTGAGATTTAACTTCAATGCCCAAAAAATAATCCAAATCTCCTAGTTCTCTGAGAGAGAAGGAATTATTGAGTTGTTGAGTTACAGAGTGCAGAAACTGAGGGGAATTTCCTGTTAAAACTATGTCATCCACATAGACCAAAAAATAAGCTATAGAACTGAATTGAAAAAGGGAATGAAAATTCTATTGATTGAATAATTGAACTTTCACATACATTCTGTTATGCAGTATCATCTATATATAGGCACATCTAACCATACCTAACTCTGTTATGGCAGTTACAACAGCTGGCTACAGCTGGCAAGCTTAATTCTAGCACATGTCTAAAAGCTAACTAGTGCTATAACCAACTGACTTATCTAACAGAAAATGATATATGTGGACATTCTTTACCTTGCAAGTCGGTTCTGTGGGGTTGATTTAGGTCCAACCCAAATTCTAATACAACACTCTCCTTTTGAATTGGCAAATTGTTTGCTCTATATTTTTCTTAGCATACTTATGTAACACTTGGATCAATTGCCACAAGTTTCATATTCCAGATGATAAACCATTGAAATAATTAAGTTTGACTTCGATGCTGGTAACTAGTTGAATCATTCACTTTCCTTATCAATTTCATAGTAATACTTTTTATGGTCAATAATTGTGCTGCTTTAGCATTGCACTGTCTAGTTGAATTTCTATATGGTAAGCCACGTTTTTATTTTTTTGTAATAATTTTATTCTAGTACGTGGAGCTATGAAATGCTTGGTTCTTCTCTCTGCCGACTTGGATGATAGAGTGGTCCCAACATTAATACCTGCTTTGTTCCCAAGTTTGCTGACCATTGTATCCTCTCCGCAGGTTATAATTTTGCATATTTTTCTGTTAACCTTCTATCTATCCAGTTTTATGATTCTCACATGCTTTATTTATGTTAGCATAATATTCTTAGACTATTTTTTTTTCAAAGCTGTTTGGCTTGGAAGGAAGGATTTAAGTTGCTGTAGGGAAGACTATATGAATGAAAGTGCATATGTCAAGATGAAAAACAATCCCCGACCCTTCCATAGTGATTATGCTAGGATATAGAATAAAGGAAAATTAGAGTTGTTTAGAGTTGGAAGAGCACTTAGTTGGTTAATTTGGAAGTCTTTATATAGCGCTCACTTGGTGGTCTATTTAATTAAAGATTTGCTAACCGGCTGAACAGTCACGTAACAAACTGACCAACTGATTAACGGGCTGCCCTTTATCCTATATCATAACACGCCCTCTCTTCCCATTGACATCTTTCCCATAGGAGCATATTGAATGATTTTACAAGTCTTGTTTATAGTAGTCTCCTTTGTCTTCCTGCATTTTGCATATCCGTAGAAGCAAAATTTAACAATGTATAGTAATTTAATTTTTTTTTTTGATAAATCAATTCTTGATCTATGCATTATTTTTAGAATAGAAGAACAAGTAAATAAAGGAAAAAAGCCAATCTTTTGTTTATATTGAAATTTGTGCCTCTTTTGTCACATGATAATTTTTTCTTTATTTTTTTCTCCATGCAGATATATGACACATACATACGAACCAAGGCCCTTTCAATAGTCTATTCTTGCACATCTATGCTGGGGGCGATGAGTGGTGTTTATAATGTATTTTCTTGCCACTAAGTTACTGTCCACAGTTCTCGTTGATTCTTGGTTTAGTGTATTTTATTTATTAATAACATAACATGTCATGATGTATTGTTAGGCAGAAACAGGTTCTCTAGTAGTTCCTTTGCTTAAACCATGGATGGATCAATTTTCTTCTATTCTGGAAATTCCAGTTCAGTCTGAAAATCCAGATGATTGGAGTATCAGAATGGAGGTTGGTTTGGTTTATTAAAAGTTGATTTCCACATTTTTTCCCAGTTTCCTACATTATAACATGATATTGCATCTTTCTTCTTTAAGGTTCTGAAGTGTTTGAATCAGTTTATTCAGAATTTCTCAAGTCTAATTAAAAGTGAATTTGAGGGTATGTTTAGTCTCATAGTTTTGTTCCTTAGCCTTTGTCTTTAGTTCTATTTTGATGTTTGTTTGACAAGGTGCTGTTTGCTGTAGTTGTATTGGGACCATTGTGGAATACATTTGTCTCCTCTTTGAGAGTTTATGAACTGGCATCTATTGAAGGAACAGAAGATTCATATGAGGGAAGATATGATTCAGATGGCTCAGAAATAAGCCTTGAATCATTTGTTATCCAGGTGACAATAGCAGCAGTTTTTGATGTTTATTACTTTCATGGTTTGATAATGTAAGTGACATTTCACTATTTGGCATGTTTTCATGTTGGAGTTAACTGACTTATTTTATCTGCAACGGTTGATACTTCAATCAGTAAGGGTTCAACGGCTTTTTGTTTCCATTTTACTTTGTCAAGTTCATGGACTTGTCAGGTGCCTGCCCATTTTAGTGTTTGTCATCAGCTGGTTAATTTACCCGAAAAATTGTTTGTTATCTTGATCCCTATATGTCAAACCCCTATCCTTATGATTCATAATTTAATTAAGCCTCTATGTTGGATCTATATCTTTTATGAGTGTTTCGTAATTGTTTCATCTAAACTTGTATTGATCAGGGATAGTTTATGCTTACGCGTCCTTGATTTCTCTATATAACTTTTAACTTTTTTTTAATACAGCTGTTTGAACTTCTGTTGACCATTGTGGGTAATTCAAGATTAGGAAAGGTTTGTTTTAGAACATTCTTGAAATATTATGTTTTTTGATAGTTGTGTTCTATTGCACAATCATTTTGATACGTGGTTTGTGCTTTTATAGGTGGTTGCAGCTAATGTCAATGAATTGGTTTACTATACAATTGCTTTTCTTCAA